CTTACGAGAATAAGTTGCAAGCCTCATGATTCTGCTTCAAATTGATCAATATATAAATAAGACATAATGCAAATATCTTAAAAAATATTAACGATTTATTTTATATTGTGACTAACTCAATGAAGTGTTCATTAATCATACACATTAAGGCTTCTATTGTTGTATTTGATATTTGATAATGTTCGTAAATAATCAATGTTTACCTATATTTTTCACCAATGTATGCAAGTGCACTTACAATCACGTAATCTAATTTATGCAACATTTTTTTGAAAGATGGTAAATTATTATGAACAAAACGTTAATATTATATAGATGACAGTAAATAATTATATCTTCTTTAGCGAAGGGCATGGCGTGGAGATATAAGTGGTTAAACTGTTATATCTTTGGACGATGGAATTGTTGAAGTGAAATTATGGCAGTTTGTTAATTCAAACTTAAAAATGTTATTTAGTTTAATTTTATGTGTGTGTGGGAGGTGTATGTGTGCGTGCGTGCGTGCGTGTGCGTGTGCGCGTGTATGTGCGCTTAGTAAGTTTACAAAAGTTTATCTCTTAAATTATTTGGAATATATGACTGTTATTTCTCGGCATATATAATTCCAGTATCAATATATCTATAGATAATGTAAACATATATATATATATAAATTTCGATATTGGAGATTATGATATATGAAGAGTATAATACGTGTGTGATTTGAATAGTCCATGAAGTAAGATTTTCACAAAATAAAACAATGAATCTTGATCTCGGCAACAAACTTGAACAAATCGCTCTAAAGTTCAGCTCACATTGTGTTACGCATATATGTGTAGAAACTTCATAATGTATCGCACACAAGCTTGCATATCTATCAGCTGTATTAATAAATGTTACAGTTTTTTAGCGACCATTTATTTATTTACTTTTATTTAATATCCCGGACATTCCTGACAATCAATCCCCGACGAATGCGAGATAATTTAGCATGAATCACGCATTGTACCTGCAAGCAAACGAAAAATTAGGCAATGAAGGTGCGTGTAGTAGACCCGTAGAAGAAAATCGACACTGCAAAATCGAGATTTACCATCTGTAAATTTTGATCGCGTAAACATGTAGATGATGAATCCTGTACACATAAAAAATATAGTTCACAGCACTGCAGCATGAATATTTTCGTTCGCTAAAATATCGAAATACGATTTTTTAAATAGGAATATGATAATCTCTTTTGATTATCATATTTCTTGCCCTTATCGGCAAAATGGCTTTAGTTGCTTTAGGCAATCTGCTACTTTTGCTTACTTTATAATTTTCTTTAAAATTTTTTATACATGTTAGATACGCTTCATCTTTTTAAAAGTGTATGACACGTGCTGCAATTATTCGGTGTGCTTAGTCGTAAGGGGGTAAGTCATTATTTTTGCATTAATCGTTATATACAGGGTGTCCCAAAATAGTCGCCAAATATTTCATAGGTAGGTAGAGCGGATTAAACTGAGTCGAAAAATCCTCTACCATTGTGCAATTTTCGCAATAGTTAACAAGATGTTAATTATTAAAAATTGCCGAAAATATTGGTCTTCAATAATTTTTTACTCAAATACTATCAACTTTACAGAAAAATTGCAAGAAACAAAAATTGTTTATTTTCTTCTCACAGAACCACTAAGAATTTTTTTAGAATTTTTTAATACCGTATTTTCTCATGTTGATTACATAAGAAAATGCAGCACTAAAAAGTTGATTAAAAATTCTGAAAAAATTCTTAGAGTTCTATGAAAAGAAAATAAACAATTTTTGTCTCTTGCAGTTTTTCTATAAAGTTAATAGTATTTGAGTAAAAAATTATTGAAGACCACTTTTTCCGGCAATTTTAATAATTAATATCTTGTTAACTATTGTGAAAATTGCACAATAGTAGAGGACTTTTCGACTCAGTTTAGTTCACTCTATCTGCCCATGAAATATTTGGCGATTATTATGGAACTCCCTGTATAATAATCGCGTAAACAATTGCAATCATAGCAATGGTATAATCGCATAAAATCAATTTCACACACACATACACGCGCGCGCGCGCGCCGCGAGCGTGCGTTTGTTTTTGTTATTACCACGAGTGTTTATTTTTGTGATGTGTGAGGCGCATCTCCCAAGTCTACAAGATACAATTATGTGTCTTTTCATTTACAGGATAACGAAGGCGGCATCGCGCGGAACAGCGGCATCCTGAAGGAATTGGAAACGAGACTGAATGACGCGATGACAGGAGCGAGGAATGCTATAAGGAGCGACTTGGTGAAGAAGTGCATCCTTCGCCGCGGTTCCTCTTTTTACACGGCAGTGAAGAGGATCAAGAGTAATAAGAAACCCCGGCAGACTTTCACGCGTCGTGCGTTGAAAAATCACTGCGCCAACAATGTAGAGAACAGCGCGATAATTTGCGCCATCAAATCTGAAGTGGAGGTAAAGCCGTTCCTGAAGGTGATTGATCGTTTTCGGTCAAGCAAATCTAACGTCGCGTCAACGATCAGCGACACTCTTGAACCACGTTTAAACTCCGCGAATAAAAAACTAACGAAGACGAATAGTTCGGCAAAGATACGCGTCTCCTCCGAGGAAACAGCGGTGGTGAGACAGGGTGCAAAAAGACTGAAAGTCATCTCGTCTACGAAAACATCCAAACTTCTTCCCGAAGTCGGGGAACCGTCCTGCGCCGCAGAAGAGGTCAGCGTGAAGGGATCTCCAAAGATACCGCATACTTGCGATAAGAGGCAGAGCATTAAAGGAGCGCGCGATACAGCTAGGATTGCTACACGTAAAAACCGAACGGTCTTCCAGCCTGAAAGAAATAAATAAGACTGCCGTTTAGGAGAGTTTTGTAGAAAAGAACAAAACAAAATTTTAAATGAGCTCATTAGAATACGAAAAACAAATTACTAGGCTCAAGAGACTCAGGAAATCAACATTGCCATTGATCTCCTGTGCCTCTTTTCAGAGAGATATTTTGCAAATTGTAGTTTATACAGAGTGATAAAAAAGTTTGGTCACAAAGGAGGATGTTGATTTTCCATTAGAATTTGTAACGTCGGGGGTCAAAATGAACATCCTTTTGTGTTTATCAAATCATTAGTATGACATATATTTACAAAAAAATAAATTCTGGAATGTTAGTTATATCTTATTAAATACCAAAATAATAACATGCAAAATAGTCAATAGCAAATAGCTTTAATAGCTTTGATACAAGTTTTAAAACATTTTTTTTGAGAATGCATCAACGATTATTACCATCAGAATTTATCCATATTCCACAGATAAAATCTTTCAGGAGGACAACAGAACGGTTTTTGATTTACCAAATGATAAAAATGTTTTGGTGTAAAGTTTATTTGGTATTTAATATAAGGCGTAACCAATATATAATGTATAATACATTTTTTACTATAATGACTTAATAAGTTTATCAGGTAAAACTATGTGACCAATCCTTTTTGTCATTCTGTACAGGAAGTGCGATAAATCGTAGTTTTAAATGTTTTAATCGACGGAAAGGTGGATGGAAATGAGTAAAAGGATTCACATAGCACAGTTCTCCGAGTATTGTCTTGAGAACTCCCATAGGATGTCCTAGAGAACTAGAGCTCTAGATATACCAGAGCAATCTTTTGAGTTGAATGCCGACAGCTTTCCTATTGGCTATTTTAACCGCTATTTTGAACCTGATGATCTATCGTTTAATGAATAAGTAATAAATAAGTAAGCTCATTAATTCTTTGATATGATATGATTATTAGGTAAAAAATGGTGGCCTTTAGTGCTAATCTTGTAAGTCTAGAGCTGTACTTAGGATATCCTAAAGGCGTCCTCTGGACATTCTTAAGACATCTCTTTGACTAGATTTCAAAATGTCCTCTCCGAGAAAGATTTTACTCCATACATATACTATAATACATGTTACATGTAATATATATTTCAAGTAAAATTTTCCTCGGTGACGACGATTTGGAATGTACCCTTGGAAAATTGTGTTGTGTGTTTTATATCCCGCATACAATATGCAAAATGTTAAATCTCTTATTTGTACTATTTGATGACACAACCTGATGTGTGATATACAGTGTGTGTTCTATCGTTGTATATATACACTGTTTTGGATTTTTCATCAAGTGATAAATTGTCTCTTCGCTCGAGGAGCAAAACTTAAGTCGTAAAGAAATGTATATATTATGTTATTATATATATATATGAATGTATATATATACATATATATACACATATATATTACATATTTGATGCATATGTAAAATACTGTTCAGTTTTCGATTATCTATCGATATTTATTATTTATATACATAGAAGAACTCCACTTTGATCTTTGCAATCGATATGTTGTTTCTTTGCAACTAGTTTCAAAAAGTTAAGTTTTTAATTAAAGATGTTATTTTGAAGAGGATATTCTATCGTTAGCAAAATTATGATGTGGTTATTTTTCACAAGTTAAAAGTTTTTTTTAATGGAGCTATATTTTTGTCTAGGTTTCCTTGCAACTAGTGTTCGTTTCAAAAATAAGTTTTTAACTAAAGATGTTATTTTAAAGAGGATATTCTATCGTTAGCAAAATTATTATGTAAATGTGATTATTTTTCTCAAGTGTTTTTTTTTTTAAATGAAGCTATTTTTGTCTAGATTTGTTGAATAACAAAAAGTTTCCAGGTAGTCATATAGAGAGATAAACGTCACATGTATATTAGATTATAGTATTCTATATTATGTGAAAATGTAAATATTATGTTTTTCTGTAATCTTGTAATGCTTCCTATTCATATATATATATATATATATATGCGAAGTAGGAGCTATTATATTAATGTGAAAATTTGTTGGAAAAATAAAAGATAACATAATGTATCAAGGTAAATCTGCACTTTACTCCGAAGATATATTATTTTTGCAATTTATAATTTACTTTAATCGCAACAAACTATTGATAGGAGTTGAATGAAAAAGAAAGAAGAAAAATTTCAGAACTCCAGAAAAATGATATTGTTCAATCAAAAGAAGACCTTTCCAACATGACAGTTCTTTCGATCCTCTGAGAAACATGTACAAAAACGAGGTGGAACTGAATCAAATTTTACTCGTTTACATCCAGCAACAAATTCGATTTCAGAAGGCTCAAAATGTACCTGCAAAGAAAAAATTACAAATATGTTATGACTTTAACAGTATATTATTACACGTTTATCTTCTAAAGTATAAAATCAGAGAATACTACACATAACTACTAACCTCGCAAAGTTTTTGAGAACTGCTAGGTGACCAGTTTTTGCCTCTTCTTACCGCAGCAATCCATTTTCTTTTTAAAGTTCAGTTTCATCGCGCGGTTATCTGACTAATGCATAGTCTTGATCGCTATTATTGGAACACTTGTATACAGAGCAATACGATGGCATGGTGAATCGTGAATGTATATTACGTTATATTGCCTGTAATATATATAAGCACAATAAATCGATTAAAAATTCTGTATGTCACCAAGTAATTGCATCTACAAACTATCAATAACATATATATAATTTCAACACCTAAATATACATTTCTTATGTAAGGAGAAAATAAAAATAAGAGTTTATTTATAATTTCTTCTAATAAACATTTTGTCAAATATATATATAACTATATAACAAATATAAGTATATAAAATCAGTTTTAAAAAACACAATTACTATTGTAATTAACGATCACTAACCTCACATGTGTTGCCATCATCGGCTGAACATCCATTCAGGGGTACGTTCCAAAACTCGACTCTATCAACTCCGAGTATCTTTTATCCTTGTTCAACATTCGGTGAAGAACAAGGATAAATGATACTCGGAGTTGATAGAGTCGAGTTTTGGAACGCACCCCTGGCAAATGCATTGGCGTCGCAATATCTTAATAATCCGTACGTATTCTTGCCAGCCAATCACGGTGTAGCTAGTCACACGACCAAGTTGGCGATTCTAGAGTCCTAGATATCAGAGAAGCGCAACCGGTGTTCCGCATTCTGATTCGCTGTTACAGTCACGTGGCTTGGCAGCCATTTATAATACTAGTGACATACTTCTATTTCATTTTATCCTACAATTCTATCTCACATTATCTTACACGTTCTATCCTAGGCAAATGAAAGTTTTATGTTACCATTTTTTATGCGTAAGTTTAAACATT